ATCTGAGACAGCCTTATGGGACGAACTCCTACTCGATGCTCCACCAATGGAGCAAACAACTATTTTCATCAGAGATGGGTCTGCGCCTGTGTGTTCTACACTTGGCTATCTTCCAAGCATCGGCTAAGAAGAACTCCGTCATTTCAACGACGTACAGCTTCAATGATACATTCGTGCGACAACAAGCCTGTCTAGACGGCCGGTCGGCTGTCTGGCGTTAGTAGACACGATTCTGCCGTGTACCCACATTGTTACAGCAAGCCGCCACATTATCTTGTCGGGCGCCGTGTCGCGACTGCGACCACTTATTTATCTGTGTGGCTCACTGTGTGAGCCCTACCGCTGTGCCTGTGACTCCCCAGTACAATGCGCGGTGAACAAAGGCTCACGGGGTTTGACGACGAAGACACGTTCCGAGGAGAATGGCTTAGCCCGCGTCTGGGCAGCCTCTTTTCATTAACTTCCTTTTTTGTCGGGCGCCGTCTACCGACTGGACATCCTTCGCGTGCATCAAACATAACTCGGCCTAAGTAGCTTCGCCCCTAAAAGAAAGAAATAATCTGACAGATCTATGATATGGAGAAGAGAAACACGTCTATCGCGTCTCCGTCAGAATGCACTCGCACGCGTGTTTGACGTGAACAACCCTGTTCGTCACGTTACGTATCATGACCACTCTCTGGACTAAGGCTAACCGACGGTAATCTTTGAGGAGCGCGCGTTGGCACTGTCATTGAATTAACAAAAGGCTGCATGGCATTGTGATGTGTATCTTTCATTTATTTTGTTTTCGGTGCAGTTTATTTTCGTGTTAACATTGCCAGTGACTGACGGCACTCGATCAGCTGCCGTTACCAAGAAATGATCATGCGGGAGTGCCAACGGTCAACAAAAGGGCACCCTCCTTTTCCCTCCTGTTTCGGCAGTACCACCCACGTTTCACGTTTTCTCGGTTTTGAGGCTATTCGCCACGTACTCTCGAGTTCGAGCTCATATTTATCATGACAGTATATTGTCATCTGTGAGTACCATAGACTGAGCATACGAGGTTTAAGAACATTTCATCAAGCCAATGCTACGAAAACATCAAAGATATCTTTTGAAATTTCCGACTTCACGGGTAGAGCTTTCGGCACGAAATATGAAAATGGAAATTTTACCTTAATTTTCTTTGCTAATATTAACCTTATGAGAGTGAGACTTGTGACACTGGAGCTCTGAGTGGAGTTTGTCAGCCAACCAAGTCATCGTTCTTTATTAGCGTCCCTCTAAAGGGACAAGATAACCCTTTTAATCACCATGTATTTTAGGCCAAATTTATGTAGCTTTTTCTCCACAACCATAAAACTTACAGTAACTAATTTACTATAATTGTGATTATAAGTAATCAGTTTTTACTAAAGCGGAATTGTCTCTGGATGTTGTGATGCTAGTTTTTGTATTTTATATTTGTATTATCTAATCATAACGCGTTAGTCAGTATTGGATGTCACGTCAAAAAGTAATTACTCACACTAAAATAATTCTGCTTTCATACATTCTCTAGCACGTTCTCTAAATACTGGCTCAAATTTATATTTTTGAATACAGTGGTTGCCGAGGAAAGGTACATAAGTACAAAAAAGCATGTTTTCAGATAATCACGTTTACAGTGAAAAGCATGCTTTTTTTTCGAAAGCACCACGAAGTAACCGCCAATGGAAGGACATTTTTAATAGGCACCAGCCATATAATCATTACCAATATCACTTTTTCTCTTTCAGTTGAGGCGTCTGGCCTAGTGGGCTTCTTTTTTGGTCTTCTTCGCAGCCCAGTAAGTGAAGTACTGTCGGTGCAGCTCAAGTGAGCGTAGGCTATGCACTGCTAAGCACTGAACGAGTTAAGTACTGACCGAGTTAAGCACTGCACAAGTCAAGACCTGAATGAGTTAAGCACATTCACATGAACTATATTGCCATCAATAAAGGTGATTACAGCGTCAAGACTTCACATTTTTAGTGCTAGGTGTCTGAGAAACACGTTTTATGGAGCGCGCTCCCACACCACATTGTTCAACGACTTGTTGGGGTTCTGGACTTTCCCACTGAGATATTTTGCAAGTAATTCGGCGTTATCAAGTTTGTCATAAAATTGCTTAACATCCTCAAGAACAGATTTCGGAGGTTGTCTTTGTGAAAGTATGGTTCGCCACTGAACTTGGCTTTGTTGAATATGTATCAGGTATCAGCGTCTTCGGGCAAAGGTCGTGGGATGGATTGGTAACCGGTGATGCCATGTGGAAATATGTGGCCCAGACAGACTTTCGCATGTTCTTTAAGCTGCCTACGTTTCTTATGATGGCTAAACTATAATACTTTTGGAACTATTCGACCAACGCACGCAAAGAACACGTACAAAATAAATGAAAAACCGCAGAATACTTTCAGCTTCGAAGAAACATTGAATCAGCAGATGAAAAACTTGTTGCTAGACAAAATATGATCCTCACTAAACTTGTGAAAAATTTTTGCGTTTCATTCCAGAGTGTTCAGAGCTGCCGACGTGTGCACTCAGGTGCCTAGGGGAGCTGAAACAGCTGGCTACCTCATAGGTCTTGCAATATATGATTTTTAGATAGAAAAAAGTCGCGAATTCGCACTAACACACACAAAAAATTACTCATTCTCGTTCGGAAGAGGCTGCCGATTTCAAATCACGCAAAAAGAAAAAAAATATTTTTTTCAATATCTTCGCTCACTCTGTCTCTTTCAAGCAGGTCATTCGACAACTTGATTTCAACGGAGTTAGTTACGTATATAAACACGATACGCTCGAACATTACACCATATGCACACGCACAATCAAGCGGAATGAGGACACTAAAGGATAATTGCATGCCAATTGTCCCTGCCATTTTCGCGACCATCCGAAATTTATTAAAAAAAAAAACAGGTAAAAAACATTTATTCACTGCATTTAACACAGTGAACTGCAAAAATTCCTCAGAAAAAAACATTTTAATAACGTGGCTACCTTCTGAACATTCCGGAATGTCACCTGGGTCTTGTTTGTAGAGCAATTTATTTTAGAAGTACCTCTCACTCTATGTATACCAAATTTGGTCTACATTTTAAGCAAATGTGTTTGTGTAAGGTGTTTTAGGCTCAGTAATAATAACGAAGTTTTCGGTCGCACACGCCTCAAAGAGTTTAGTCAAACACTGTTATGTTTGTATTTTTTATATTACAATACTGCTCTTTCTATGGATATCTGAGCAGTGAATACTTACTCCACAGAAGGCACATCTTGAGGAAAAAATGTTTTTATTTCACTTTTAAAGCTACTACACTTTACGGAATGACATCAGGAATGTCACAAAGTTGTCATTTTTGTCCATATTGACTAGTAATATGCATCATGTCCAAATAAAAATGACCTCAATGGCCAATAAACAGTACTTTTCATATGGAAAATTTTATCAATACAACTTTTCTTTCAAGGAAAAATATTTTTTAAACTTTTCCATTGACTGTAAAGGTGAATTGCAAGACGACAGCTGTCGTATGACCGAATGGAAAAACAGCCACCGATGGGACACTTCGAAAATAATTTCTCCATTAAAACAAAAAGTTTAATTACAAGCATGAACAGGTATTAAACGATCTGTTTATTTCCTCTTGGTTTAGTTATAAAAGTTATTTTTCATTGAACCACCACAAGTTGCAAATAGCGTCTCAATATGGAGAAAAGAGACGATTTGGTGAAATTCGGGATTTTTTTTTGGTAAGGTTTAGGTACAGTAAGTACATAAGGTTTATTATACCTTTAAAGCTATAAATAATTTCTCCTAAAAATATGCCTTCTGCGAAGTAATTATTCACTGCTCTGATATTCATACAAAGTCTAGTATTGCAGACAAAAAGTGCAAACTTAACACATTTTGGCTGACTTCTTGGAGGCGTGTGTGGCAGTAAAACTGTAAAACTATAATTGACCTGCAAATGCATGACACAGGCACGTTTACTGATTAAGTAGACCAAATTCGGTGTTTCAAGCAGGAATATTGCATTAAAAAAGTTGTTCACAAACAAGACCCAGACGACATTCCATTAAGATCAGAAGGCAGCCACGGGACCAAAATATTTTTTTCTCTCCATAACAATCTAGCACTTCACTGTTTTCAGCGCAGTAAATCAGCCCGATTTTTTCCGAATACATGTGCAATGGTTGCTAGACTGGCTCCAACGTCTGGCACAGAATGACCTTTAAGGGTTTTCCGCGTGGATGCACTTTCAGGCCCTCGGGGTGCCATTGATAACGCTGAGAGCTTCTTGCATGTCTCAGCGCATCTAGTACTGACGTGCGATGCCTCCACTGCTGTTAGCGCGAGGTTGTTGGACATTCCGCCGCTGCTTAAGCGATGTTATGCAGAAGGGTTTGCCTTAACTACCGCATCACTTCAAGGGGTCTCACCCGTGTTAATGTTGAAAGCTGCCCGAAGAGACCAAACGCAAAGCGATAAATTCTGCTCTATAAATGTTTAACCATTCGTCAAAATACAGCAATAATTTTGTTTATAGTCATGGGGCTGAAAACTTATTTGAAGCAAACAAAAAAGTGATCTGAATTTAACCTGTTGCATTCAAATCTAAATATTTTATAGACAGTGTTGCAGTTTCTTTTTTAATCAGTTAAGAGTGCACAAGCGTGTACTTGTTTTATGATAACCCATTTGCAGCTCACCTTCATACCCTTTTTATGAAATATGAGGGCATTTTTTTTCTGCAGGAAGATCGCAAGCATTAACTGCATAAACTGAAAGGCGAAATATTGCTTCTTGTGTCGCGGGTATTTTGATCCACCCACGCGCCTTCGAAGCCTAAGCGTTATCACTAGGGCACCGACACTTTAACATTTGGCCCCGGAACTGGCTCTCTTGCGCCACGGCACGCAATCTAAGCTAGCATTGCTCCATAGTTCCGCCTCTGGAGGAAGATTTTTTTGGCTAAGTATTGCGGACGCGATTATAAGAGAGCCGCTCTGGTGGTATCTGCTGTCAGTGTGCGCGCAGGAAGCAAGCTAGCGTCTTCAGTGCTGCGACTTTAAATACCAGCGGGACAGTAAATAGAAAAGAGCTTGCGCCGTCTGTCAGGACGCTTAGATTTAGCAAATTTGCCCATAACGTCAATACTTCTGGCTCCGACGAAACAATACAGCCAGCAACGTGGCTAAGCTCACTTAACAATGAGGGTATGTTTATTCCAACTTCATGCATCATTTCTCTTGACGATCCTGGCGGTCTCAGCCACAGGTAAGTTGGATCTCAATACCTTCGCATCTTTCCTTACGCTTAGAATGTAACCAGAACACAAAAAGTGTCCAACACCTCGGGGCTGTGGCATCAATTATTTTCATAGTTTACAGATATAGTCCTGCTAATCCACAGAGCGTATTGTAATAAACAATAAACTCACAAAGCACACGGCTCGTGCACTGAAACGTGCCAAATTAGGCTTAACTACCGTGCGTAATAATTTTCTTTCGGTTGCGCAACCTTTGGTTCGTGCCATATAATAGTGCCTCCTGCGCTTACGTCAGAGGTAACGTGGTCTTTAACGGTCATTCCCATTGTTTTGTGTTGAATATATTGACGCGTTCTCACACGAGTTACTTGTTGTGTACTCATGTCACGCTGCATTATGGGAATAGTGCTCCCACAAAATTTAATCCAGAAACAAAAACAATTTTAAATAAGGTTGGGTTTTTCAGGCAATGACCTTAACGTGCAAGGACACAATGTTCGACTGAAGCTGCTCTCTTTGCCATTGAGCTGAAGATTGATTTGGTTGATTGATAAGCGGCGTTCATTGCCGAAAAATCAACATATGATTATGAGAGACACAGTAGTGGGAGGCTTCGGAATATTCGGCCACCTGGGGTTCTTTAGTGTGGAGCGAGATATGAACAAACGAGCCTACAGCCTTTTGGCCTCCCCCAAAAGTGCAGCTGCCACATCAGCTGATGGAATATGTGTACCTAAGCATTTACCTATCATTCTGGGTCTTAGCCATGAGTAGCAGTCAATTTCCCATGAACGTCAGCCGAATACTGCAACTCATAGGGAAACATGAATAAGTGAGGCTTACTTGCGAACCGAAGACACTATGCTGTAGTGCTCAGCTAAAAGGAAAAAAAAAAGGCATATTGATTGTTTACGTTAGGCGCCAGTAAAGTAGACCCTCTGATGGCTCTGTGTGAAGAAGTAAACAATACACCCTCAAAGCCAACTAAGTGTTGTGCTAATTCTTCTTTACAAAATAACTAAAATAGTACTAGAATTTGCAACTATTGAGCTCGAAGCTGTAATTGAAAGTTGCCATTAGCTTTTTATAGTTGGGAATTGAAATGAAAGCACATGTCAGAAATGGACTTCACGTGCATGTTGACAATTTCACTGCAGTTTCTAGGCGATCGTCTGGTTCTAAAATGTGACGAAGGTGTGTTGAAACACAATGAATGGCGTGATTTTTCAGTTTGCTACTATCTCTTGCTTGTTGGCCAATCAACGAACGTCGACATTAGTTGCTATTAAGGCTTAAGTAGCAAACGACTAAAATAGTAAGGTATTGTGAAATTATTACCGACAGCCTGGGCGAGTACAGATTTTATTTACATCAAAGCAATGTTTACGTCAAAGCTAGAACAAATGAAGTCAAGCACTCATTTTCTGTAACATTGTTATATCGTGAATGATACACGGAAGAGGGGGCCAAGGTCAGCAGATCATATTGTGACTATCTGCTCGTAGATCATTACATATGAGTCGTAATATTAGCACAGCGATGTGAAAATATCTAAACTTACAAAAACGGGCACAATAGTTACACAGAAATGAAAGTAGAGTAGTAGGAGACGCTATTAATAAACTTTTGAACTACATTCGACTGCTTAGTAATTCTGTTATTATTGTGAGAAGAAATGTAAGTTGGTGCTACCTGTGAAAATTCACCAGGAAAGTCTTCTTGAACAGTTAAAATAGATTTCACGCAATGTTACCGTAATTAAAGAGAAAAAAAAACAAAAGAAAACTGTACGCATTATGAATAATTATTATAAATATTTGTTCAGAGAGTAAATGGGAAAGGGTTCAACAGGTGGACTAGTTGGTAAATCATGATCATTCAGAAAACTTGGATTAGCACTCACTGATAATTGATTGTTTGTTAGTGAGCGCTCGTGTTCTGTGGTTCTCCTTTCATCTGCTTTGTGGTCCCGCGCTCCCAGTTCTCCACAGTGCGGAAAGTTCGCTGAACGATCATAAACGTAAAAAAATTCTATCAACACCCTAAGAGATGGCGATGTTTTGAGGAGGTGATGAAAAAAAATGGCACAATTCGCTTAAAAAATGAGAGAGCTGAAGCAGTTGATACGTATTCGTTGCAAAATAAGACAAGGGCATGCAAACAGGGAAACATAAGGCAAGAAGGATTTCTTCTTGCCTCCGTATTTGGACGCCTTGTGTGTTTATAGTGTACAAAACTCCATTGCACAAAATAGTGCTCTGATTCTGCCATAATCAGAAAAGTTTTGAGGCAGCGATAAGGTATTATTCCGAGTGAAACGAGTAGGGTTCTTCAAAAAAAGCGAAGGAAATCAAAGTAATTGTGGATGATATTTTTCCTAATCAAGCTTTGAAGGATGGTAATTAAGTGTGAATGGATAACTAGATGTGAGCGCTTTATTCTCCTTGCGTATTAGACTAATATCACCGCTGCTAAAGTCGGGAAAAATTCGCAGAGCTCAGTTTTGTATATGCGAAATTGATGAGAAGTGACCGTGATAAGACTTACCGAAGGCAGCAAGATTGTGAGAGAGATTCGGCAGATCCCACCTGTCAGAGAATCGACGTTATGCGAAGCATGTGGAGAAAGGGTGACTATGTTGCAATTTCTTTATTGAATGACAAGTCACGAAGTGACGGTAAATATATGTGCAAATGTTGCACGCACAGACGTATGTTGAAAAGTTGCAGATGTTTATATAACCAATTGTTTGCACTTGCGCAACAATGCCAATTATAACCTGCGTATTTGAAACATCAAAAGCCGATACGAAGCGCTAATGCTCACGAAGGTACTGAGCCTGGTTACTCCTACATAAGTCAACTTCAGAGCATCGAAACTAACCACAATTGACGCTAACCCGACGGGACGGCTGCATCAAACGAGTAGATATGTAATGTTTATAAAACTGGGTAGGAAGCACTGCAACCACTATTGACGTTTCATGAAGATTAGCATTCATTTGAAAATGAGTTCCGAGGGCTGGAATAGAACTGTGGTAAAATACTTCATTGACACGCAGAATGCTTGGGTTCGATTTTAGCTAGAACCCTGACATTCCTTCTTTGCATTCGTCGGGTCGATGCTACCGATGTCGGGTATTTCGCAACGCTCATGCGTTAAAATTGCCCATGTGTGTTCTCGTCGTTCCTTGGTAGGTACTAAGTGTTAATCACCTGTGGCGCATACCCGCATACCAGCGGCACATACCCGCCTGCGGGTACGTGCCACTGTCGGGCGGGAAGTGTTTGACGATTGACGTGCGCGATGGGACTGTGACATTATTATTGTCTTGACCAGCGTGTCACATTCAATCAACCATCTTACCATCCCATGCTAATTTTGGTTCACGCAAAGTTAAGGGGGTAACCATGAGAGCACCGAAACGTAAGCGGCTAGATAGTAGATAGATAGATATGCTCAAACGCGCCGACGTTTGCTAAGAAACGCTTTACATATAATAAAAAGACTATGCATAAATGCGTAGTAATATGAAAGGAGAGCAGGAGTAGAGCGACAATGTGAAGCTTTTATTAGCGCTCTTATTCTGAATGAATATCATTCTGTAACTTGAAATATTGATTTTGAAATTTTGTCCTTGATCAATGCAGGCATTGAAAAACAAAACGCAATCGATCATTGAACTAAATTGGAAGAAATGGTCACCTGAGGTAAAAATTGGAATCTTCCTTGAAGAGAACAAAAATTGAAAAATGTAGTTTTCTTTGATTTAAAATTGACTGATTATTGTTACATGAAGGTAATGCATGACTTCATTTCTGCTTTATTAAGTGTTAAAGACACACCTCAGTCCGAGAGAGTTGTGTCACCAGCATTTAACATGATTGTAAAGGTTAAGTGCGTAGTCGAAGTTTACACAAATAAAAAAGAAGTAATAATGTTCTTAAGCTTCAACCTTACCCCCTGATGATTACCCCACCGCGATGTTCTGGTGACTAAGATACTCGGCTGCTGACCCGCCGGTCGTAGGTTTGAATCCCGGCTTTGGAGGCTGGATTTTCAATGGAGGCGAACGTGCTGTAGGCCCTTGTGCCCAGATTTGTGTGCATGTTAAAGAACCCCAGGCGTACGCCTGGGGTTCTTTTCCGTAGTCCCTCCATTTCCGTAGCCCTCCACTATGGCGTCTCTGATAATCAAATGGTGGTTTTGAGACTCTCAAACTCACATATCAATCAGTACCACCTGGCAATTATCTTAGTGTCTTTGAACTTACTAGATTATGAATCAACTTAGTTTTCTTGTCAAGCAAGTAGTTACTGAAAAAGGTGAACGCTGGACCTGCCAATCCATAAGATTCCAACCTGTTTGACAACATGCTATATCAATAATTGTAGCAAATGCCTGAGAGCAGTCTAAGAATACGGAACATTTGTGAATGGGAATAGCTAATGTATTCGCTTTTTGAGAGAACTTGGAAGTTGGTTGAACTAGCAGAAAAAAATTCGAATGAAACGTTTCCGAAAGAAATTGTGGTTTAAATGTAACAATTCAGGATAGTAACATTTGGCAGAGGTTTACCTCGCCTTTAGAAGCTTCGCCCCTAAAGGGCAGCTTTAAATATGTTATTATTATAGCTGAATAGATCCGAGAAATATTACCTACTGTTTTTACGTGCGTGCTATGCGCGTCACTTAAAAACAATAAGCCGTTTTTTCACAGGTCATCTAATGTGGCTGAATTGTGCCTATGGTTTTTAACTATAGTGAAAACGTTTTCTAGTGGTACGCGGAAAAAAACAAAAAGACAATTTACTCAAGTCCTGCTTCATTAGGCATCGGTGTGATCCCGATTATAAATTTCAAAAAGAAAATTTACTCAAGTCATGCTCATTAAGCATCGGTGTGATCCCGATTATAAATTTCAAAAATTAGTGAGTGAAAGCAATAGCGATTTCAAGCGCCTGTATATTGCCTTGTATTATATTTCATTCTAGGAATTGAAGTCTGAA